TTTATTACTGTTACTTGGTCAAAAGCTTAAAATGTACACCAGGAGTTAGCGCTGAGGTTTTTTTTTTTTTTGCACGAGTCGCAGGAGTATAAACAATCTAAATTAAGTTTATATTTCTATTGAGCTTAAAGATTTTAAAGTTAAAATTTGTAATAGTAGATTCACAACCTGAAAATGACTAAGAGTATGAGCTGCACACAGATTTAAAATAAACAAATAACCCAACGTCTCTAATTATGGCAGTGTAAATCCCGCAGTATGAAATGGGTACAGCCACAGGGCTTACGGTCAATTATGTCAGTTAAAATCCCTCATTTTCAACTGGACTTTGGATATCAAAACAAAAGTAGGTGTTACCAAACTTAACCCACATTGCTGTGCCTATTTTGGGAAAATAGGCTGTCGTTCCAAAAAGGCTGCCGTATTTTTGGTTAGAAAACTGTTTATACCGTTTACACTGCCCAGCCCATCGGAGCACAATGCCTGTGACAGACTGTATTTACATGTATGCACTCAGTATCGTGGTATACAGATCCATTATTTTGATTAGAAGAGAGCACAAAAGATAGGAACTGCTGCTGGAACCACTTGATAGGGCTGGACCATTAATTGAAAAGTAATCAAAACCGAAATTCAGAGCCTCTAACAGACATAATTTACCATGTTGGTTATTTCGGATATTTTAAATATTTCCCTACAGTGTGTGTTTATGTACTTTCCCCTTAAAAACATACTAGTGTGTGTGGTCATGGACTGGTCCGTCCAGTCCTGCTGGGCTTCCAGACCGCAGTCAGGCGAGGTTAGCTGGGCTAACCGGCTTCACTATCCAGCAGTCGACGAAACAAGACCACAGCCATAATAAAACAAGAAACCCTAGTTGCTCCAGAGGCGTGCGACCTCTGACAATATAGCAATTGTAAGTCGCTTTGGATAAAAGCGTTAGTTAAATGAATAAATGTAAGTAAATGAAGACCTACGTGAACCATTATGTTTTGTATTACCTTAGAATGAGACTTTATATACTAACCGTGGGCACCCCCTGCTGTGGAGGTTGCTGTATTTTGCGTCATGTTTCTACCGTAGCCGTCAACGAACAAACAGCGCTACAGAGCGCGTTTCGTCATCAAACCGTTTCTTCTGCTTGTGTAATTCCGGTAGTGTAGCACACGTGTTATTTAGCACAAGAGCGAGAGCCAGACGGACAGACATCTGACAGAAATCAAGGATTTTATGGATTTTCCTAGATGGAAGGCTATAACGTTAATGTGGGACAAATGTTTTCAAAGCGGTGCTGAAGTTGTCTGTTTTCTGCTGGACAGGTAATTAACTTTGTTTGTCAGACTTTAGCAATGCAAATGAAAACTGTTGTTCATAGCTTTAGCTGTTAGGGCCATAATCACAGAGAGCCGTGACATGTTTCCCCTGTCAGTGGTGTGAAAATAGATTAATTTCATGGCGCCTACTATTCTCCAGCCTGTGGTTTGGCTTTGCCGGTTACATATCGAGACAATCCAGCTGATCAGTAACGTTAATTGGCAATAAAAACCGTAAAAAATGTATTGTTAGTTGGATTGGTTTTATTCTCCAGCGCTGTGCTTTGGCTTGTGGCGTTATGTTAGTTGGATTAACTTCATGTAGTTACACTCTCTCTCTCTCTCAGAATCAGCTGATCGCTAATTGGCAATAAAACGATCGAAGCTCATATCAGCCAGCTAAACTTGAAATATACTCTAAATATGTAGTTGGATTGTAATTTCAAGTAGTTCTTCTCCAGCGCTTGGTTATGGCTTTGTACGTGGACAGAAATGTGCCGTTACTTCCTGAGACAACAGCTGAGGATATTATTGGTAATGAGACGGTAACAGCAGGGAAGCTCAGATCAGCAGCTAAACTTCACATTTTACTGCCCTGGTGGAAAACATGTATTCTTTATACTGCTAATGGTGATATAACAAGGCCTTGTGCCTATCAAGTGACCAATAATAAATACTTTACGAATTTGCATTAAACAATGTTATTGGATTTTGCGTCCCACTGTGCAGACAAATATGTAATTTGTACTTTCACATGCTAATTGCCCATTAAAACATTTCACTATTTTACCAAAAGCTGAATTATGGCTGTCAGTACTACTTGTGTTTCTGTTGCATTTCAAAAAATTTGCAACTTCCCACTAGATGTCACTAAAACTTGCATACTGGACCTTTAATGAGTAGTAGGGCTGAATGATTAATTGCATTTGCGATATTATCGCAATGTAATAACAAGATTTTCTAATCACAAAGGCTGCGATTACACTCAAGAGGAAAGTAGTCTGACGAAGTTGATGCTTCGTCTGCACGTTACGCTGTACCTTGCCTTGTTGCGGCTTTGACGGACAGGAAAAAGTCCAACAGAAAGACACGTGTAGTAAGGTAAGCATATTGTGGCCAACTTTGAATTGATCCTCAAACTGAACATTTTTGTTTGCTTACTGGGATACAGAACGATGGACTAGGATATTTGAACTGAGATAAGGACGCATTAATTGGTGGTTGAACTGTGGGTTTCGTATTGAGCGCTTACTGTATAATACACTGTGGTGAACGGTGTTTTTCTTGTGGTCTGTAGGTAGGCCGACTGATATATATAATAGATCTTTCTCATATTATAATTTGATACATCACCATTGCTCATAATAATTCTACCTAATTCATCATTCATCAACACAGGCCTGACCCACAAGAAAGAACAGTGTATGTTTAATCTAGCAAATATTGTGTTGGTCATACCATACACTGATTTACTGCTTGTCCATTTTGAATAATACAGAAGGTAAAGAGGTTAAAAATTTATTGCATATTAAATCGCAATCGCAATATTGTTAAAAAAAAAAAAAAAAAAAATAAAAAAAAATCGCAATTACATATTTTCCAAAATCGTTCAGCCCTAATGAGTAGGGCTGGGTACCAAAACCCGGTGCCAATATGGAACCAGTTCCTACTACACCGAATTACAACGTAAGAAGACTTAAGAGGCGCCACTATTCACTGCAGTACCAAATGTAGTGTCCCTCAATGAAACGCTACGAGACGACAGTCGCTTTCGCTCAGTCTTACTGCGGCTCACAGCCTACCGTGAGCCGCAGCGTACTCAAAACAAACCTGGCTCAGCAGAGAGCTACACATGTTAACTTCTCCTGTCTTCAAACTCTGTCCTGAGGCTAACACACACTCTCCCAGGCTAGCAGGAACAACAACAACAACCGCCCCCTTAACACTCTGCCAATCACAGGTAGGAAAATAAATGATTGACAGGCTTCTACACTTATAACACATTTGCTGACAGGCATGACACATTCAATGACCTCCTGGAAATACTGGAGAAAACAGTAATGACAATCAACAGCCCTTTCTGCCTTGGCCAAATACAACAGTTGTGTTTTGTATATATTATATTTAAGTATACTTTAAACAGTTAATATATTGTTCAATTTAAAGAATTTTAAATATTAAAAAAATGATTAAAAAAAGCTTTTCTCCCCTTCTTTTTGAAGTATCCGTTCAGGCACCAGAACAGTTTTAAAATGGTCGATTTGGCACTGAAATCGTAAAAAAATCCAAACAAAACTCAACCCTATTAATGAGACGATGATAGACAGACAAACACATTGCATTCTAGTTAGTTCAGATATGATAGCATACAGAACTTTTTTTGTCTTTGTATAACTCTTACGTTTCGTCACCTAAATGCTGCTGTAGATGAAACATCACACGTGTTTGAGATAATCAGTCATTGATGTTTCTGTAAAGAAAAATATTCTGTATTAACGAAGGCCTGCTTTCACAAAATAAGCAGATGGCTGAGTGGTTACGATTCCATTTATCACAACCTTATCAATACTGCAAATCAAAATAACTTAATTATTGGGGAAAAATTCTACTTGAACCACGTCAATGCTTTAAACTAGCTGATTAATCAGTCACAGGCAGTGAATCACTGTTTAAGGATTAAGAAAGCTGCAGACTGCAGGAAGTCAATAACCTGATAACATGCATTTTGCCTCTGTACCTCATGCATGGAGTCGAGCAACTTGGTGAGCTGATAGAAACGCTGCCAGTTCTGGCTGGAGTTCTCCTCGCGCTTCACGATGGCTTTCCCCAGCTCCTTAATGTACGACATCCGGATATCGTCGAACACCGCCTGGCTCTTCAGGCCATCCTTTGGCACTGCAGGAGAGAGGAAACTAAAGGTCAACCTCTGGGACAGAGATAAGGATAATGTACGGTACCCGAGAGGAGTCATTTGTACCAATACACACTGACACAAAACTTCCAGGTTTAAAAAGGAGGAGGGACGTTCTTTGCATTTTAAATTATGTCCGTGCTGTGAAGGGCTAAAACTAATTAATATACATCAGGTCATTTTCAGGGTGTACTCCCAATAATATTTAGCAGCACAAAGCACTAACTGGACATCCACCAGCACATCATGAGGAGGGCTGTGTTGACTTTAGGCTGTGTTTAAGCTACCTGCCATAATGATTTTAAATGTATTTTTAATCAGCTTCACTATAATTGAAGTCTTTGTTTACACCTTTCATTCTCCTGCACTAAATCACCTTTAGGAAACAACAAAAACTTGTGTACTTCTGCATCTTCTCATAAGTGCTCTGGCTGGTGAAAGTGAGTGTGGGTATTTTTGTGGATCAATGATTTATCTGTGAAGATTCAATTCTTATTTACATTGCATGTTAATAAATGAGTTGGGAAAGTGCTGTGATCTGATGTTTTGCCCAGCGCATACATCAACATTATCTTTCAGCATCCGTGGACTGCATTGGATTGGAGTAAAGTATTTTGGCAATGACTGCCTTAACACCAGGTTTGACGTGTAATAGAGGAAGGTGGTGTGCGGGGTGGTTCAGCTTTCTGACCTGTGCTGAGCAGCAGCAGGACCTTCATGCACAAATACTCGTCGTGGGAAACCTGCAGCCGGACAAACTCGCTGGAAATCTTCAGCATCTGCTCACACTGGTCGGCCATGTAGGGCAGCTTCATCCGCTCCCTGGTGGATTCAGACAGAAACACATTCTTGTTTCTCCCCCAGTGATAGTTGATTTATGGGGCTGCTTGTGCAGTCTCAATCAGGTAGATGAATCCACTCCCAGCAATACCTCAGTAGATTAAATGTTCAAGGTCTCCTATTTTAAATCATTCTTCCAGACATGACATTCAGTCTATTTGTTTGTTGGAGTAGAAGGCTGAGAATGCATATTTCAAACGAGTGAGGGCAAAAACTCCTGAACCGTACCCCTAGGACTCCTTCATGCCTCTTTGTTGAGCAGACGTGAATCGAAAATTTATTTAAACATGACAAAACACGTCACATTCTTGGTCATTATATAATAAAAACCACCTTAAAAATTAAATTGTTGAATTCTAAACACTGAATAATGGCTGCCATAATCAAATGCAAATATAACAAGCTGACAAAATGATTCTTTGGAGGTTGTCTGACAAATAATATCACCAGATATTAATTATGATCAGATTAATTTAGAGCTTGTGATTATGAAGCAAAAGGCCAATTCCAGCACTAAGCATGGTAGCTGTGCTGAATGCTCACTACACTCAGAGCGCTGTTTACAAACAGAGTCATTCAGTCTATAAGGAGGATAAAACACTGATTACAGCTGACAGACACTGTTTGATGAGGTACACACACACACACACACACACACACACACCCTGCACTGATCGACATAAACAAATATATGCATTGGCTGACTGATGGAATTAAAACCATACTTAATAATCACACATTAGTGTCACACTACTTTGTTAACAAATTAAACAACAAGGGTTAGATGTTTACACAGATTGACAATGGACTTGTACATACTCGTTGATGACGAGGTCTGGTGCAAAGCAGAGCATGTTGCCGTTGCACTGCTGGTAAGACCTCCAGCCCAGACCAAAAGACATGAGGAAGAGCCAGGAGCACTGCAGCAGAGTCATCTGGTCGTCCAGGTGCAAGTTCCTGAAACCTGTAGGGAAAGAGACGGAAATACTTCAACTACCAATGCAACCACAACGTACAAGAGGGTGTGCCGCTGAAAGTGACAATGAGGAGTAACCAAATAAAAAACATACAAACACAGTAAGTAATTTAGATTTGCCTACGTGTCATGTTAGCCCCAGATGGAGCAGATCAAGATACAGTGCCAGTGAGTTTGTTTACACAAACCAAAGCAGAGAATATTACAATCCATTAAGACATCTCCTGCTTTTGGCTAACCCTTGTCAAATGTTCATGCTTCCAATCTGTGCGCTGTTAAAATAAAATGTGATTGCAAATACTGTCTGCATTTTGCGTTGTGTGCGGTGTCACACAATTTAAACTCGCCCTTTTCTTTTAGTTTAAATGTACATAGATGTCATTACAGACAGAGAAGACCAATGGCAATATGGCATATCTGTGTTGAATGTTAAAAAAAGTGAAATATAAATAATAAAATAAAACTGTTTTCTTTTGAAACTTCATGCAGCTGCAGATTAACCTCAATGTAAACTACATCCACAGCAAAAGACAGATTTACACTACCAACCTGGCAGAGCCTTTGCCCACTTGACAGCAGAGATGACCTGCCGGCCGCCCAGCCTGTTGAGGGTGGTCATGAGGCGGGTGGAGGTGTCGGGCAGGGTGCTGTCGTAGCCGGCATAGATGGTGTCTGGCTCGATGGCCTTCAGCAGGGACAGCATCGTGGGGACAAGCTGAGGCATGCACTTGGGTACAAGGGACCGAGCCTCAACTGGCGGGGAAGGAGTCGGTTCGGGTGGGTTGCTCGGCAGGACGCCCTTTAGGCGGTTCAACTTCTTGGTTTTGCGCGCTGCAGAAGAGAAAACAGGGATGAACACGCAGAGGAGAGTTAAGGGAAATCGAGACAAAAGGTGAAGAGGAGAACGAAGCAATTAAACCAACTCAAGGCTACACAGTTTTCTGTTATCCGTGTGGTTAATATGTACCTTCCAGGTTCATGCCTGCCATTAGACACTTGCGGAAACGGCAGGCTGGGCAGTTCTTCCTCCTGATCTTGTCAATTATGCAGTCATTCCTCCCAGCACACAGGTAATTATGCTGCCCTGAGGTACAAAGAAGAGGAAGATTAATCTGTTATTTACCTTCACTGCTGTGGCAAACACTCTAGGGGGAGAAACTAATTAGTTGTATCACATTACTTTACTTTGTAATGATCATGCCACCAACTTAAAGTTGTAATGAGTCTAGCATTTGAGCAAACTTATGTGACACAGATAGGTGATGAATGAGTTTATCACAGGCGATGAATAAATCAGTGAGGAAATAATGATGTCTTATGGCTTTGTACCTTCCACTGCTCTCTTAAAAAACACCTTGCAGCTGCCACAGGTGAGAACGCCGTAGTGGCAGCCTGACGCCTCATCAGAGCACACCAGGCAAATTTTATGAGTCCCGCTCTTTCCCTGTGCTGACGATGTAGCGGTGACCCCTTCCTGTCTGGAGATGGCACTGGAGAGAGGGTGGAGACAGAGCAGAGAAATGTCAGTCTCTCTTAAAAGGTCCCTGTGTTTTTGTTGTTGTGTTTTTAACCTCTAGTAGTGCTATGGAGCTGTTTTTCTATGCGTGGATCCCCAACACACGTGCACACAATACACATTCCTGTCAATACACTATTCCACTGATCTACAGGTGACGGTAATGCTAATATAATAATAATAATAATACATTTTATTTATAGGCGCCTTTCTGAACACTCAAGGTCACCTCACAAAACATAACAGTACAGCAATAATCGATAAGATTAACAACTATAATTACAGTGCATAAAATCAGGGTACATAACAACTGGAAACGAAGAGTGAGAAAGAGTGATCACGTGGGATATGCCAGTTTAAAAAGATGTGTTTTCAGGCGGGATTTAAAAATGGAAAGTGAGTCAATGTTGCAGATGTCTGGTGGAAGAGACGAGTTCCAGAGACGAGGGGCAGCGCGGCTGAAGGCTCTGGACCCCATGGTGGTCAAACGAGCAGGGCCCTGTTTCAGAAAGCAGGTTCAACAAACTCTGAATGTAACCCTGTACGCTGGGTTGACGAACTCTGAGCTGTCAAACTCAGAGTTTTCCCATTTCAGAAAGGCCGATCAGAATAAGTTCAATCAACTCTGAGTATGTTGAGCCTGATGGAAGCGCGTGCGTGGGGATGAAAAAAAACCATCATCAATGGAGCTCCGATACTACGATTCACCATGGCAACAGGTAAATAAAGGCAGAGCCTCCATTTTAATCATGTGGAGCTAGAAATATGAATGTTGCCAACACGGACGATGATTGGCTCTAACGTAGGAGTGGAGGATCGATACGTTAACAATATTACATTTTATACAGCGTTGCTCATTCATTATTTCCAGACTGGAATTTCCTTAATGAATGATGAAGTGCTGGGATTATCCTACAGCCTGTTATTCATTTTAAATAGGCTACAGGCCTGTTTATTCAGCTGTAACCTAACAGGACTAAATGCTGGTGGCAAAAACTGAAGATGAAAATATTAATCGAAGAGATTAGAAACAGTTTAGGCTCCTCATGGACCTGTGATTGTAAAGTGACAGTCCGTCTCAGTGACAGTAGGTCTATTAATGTTTTTTTTTGTAATGTAAAATGTGTCTAGGTTCAAACTGACTGTGAAGTTTTAGATGTCTTTGTTACATTAATAAAATCTTGCTCATTTCGTATTTTATGAAATGCTGTCAAAACACATTCAGACTATCAGCAGATAATAAAAAACTCACTTTTAAACTAGGCTACATTTATTTGTTTCAGCTGGACCACAGTCATCCTCACTCAGAAACATTCACATCATATCCAGCTGAGCAATGTTCGATCTGTGCGACTACAATGTGAAAGGTTACTGTTCATTGATCAGTTTTGTACAGATTAGCCAACTTTAAACTGCAGCACTGTAGCGCACAGTAAGTTTTTTGCCTTAATGTCCACAGAGTCACTGTGTCATAAAGAAGGACAGTGTAGCTTATAGATTTTATTCTGTGCTGAGGATAAATTTACGATGTCCAACTCTCTTTCCATACATCGATGACAGATGTTCAAGATCATGTTTGGGTTAAAAAAAAAACGAATAGCCTATTTAACCGTGATTTCGATGTTTCCAAAGACGTAATTGCGTTCCAATATGTGCTTTGATATCGACAGTATAATTGAGGAAATGACACTGTGTGTGAGACAGCCGCTTCAAGCTCCGCAGGAGGGGAGGAGTCAGAGAGAAACTCAGCGTTTGTTGAAGTAAACCTCCTCCCGAGCAGGTTAGGTTCACAGCGTAAGTTGCCGGGGTTACAGACCTAGAGCTTATCTGATCTTGCTCTCTGAAACCGAAAACCCAGAGTTTCCCTCATCTCGGGCTCAACTTACTCAGAGTTTTCACTAAACCCACTTTCTGAAACAGGACCCAGGAGGTACAGTGAGGATAATAGAAGAAGAAGACCTATGAGTCAGAGAGGGAGGTGGGTGGGAGAGATTAGGTAGGTTTGGTGGACAGGTGAATATATATACACGCAGCAATGCAAAAAAACTGCTTGCTAGTAAACATGGATGTAAATAATAAGGCTTTCAAAACCTTTGGGAAAATCCGCTTTGTACATGTTTTAGGAGGAAGGAAATGCATTCATCATGTTAGTTAGACCTCAAGGATACACACAAAGTATGTCTGTTGTGAAACACCAAATGTAAACATTACTTTTGTTTACAAGAAAAATCCACAATCCACAGTTTGCCCTACATATTGCTTGCTCTACTCCTGAAAGCATTCGGTCAGGTTTGAGAGTTCAGCTGGAGTTAATATTTACAACTCTGTACTAGAACTTTAAATAAACAAATTACACAGATACACTACACATAATTCCCATCAATGTCAATTTGTTCCTTGTACTTGTTTTTTCCTCAATTTTGCCTTTGTTCCATCCCATCATCAGTGAGTCCAATGGGGCCTTTAAAGCCTAAATTATCTGAAGATGTGTGGTCACATCTCAAATGCAGTGGTTATCATAAAAAGGACCTCCTTCCTTTGATTGAAACGCAAATGTTTCCAGACCCAGTCGACCGAAATGCACTTTTTCAAAATGAACACT